TATATATATATATATATATATATATATATATATAGATAAATATGAAGGAACATAATCGTAAAAGCATATTTCATCCACCCAAATCTTTTCACTTTAACTAGATAAGATATTAATTAAGGTTATTTTTTCCTCTCATAATTGAATTGGTACAAACATCAAATCCGTCCTACCAAATTCTTATATACAATACCATCATTATATGTGAACGCAACATAAAAAAATAAAAAATGGACAAAGTTAGCACTTTGATAAAGGTATCTAAAGTATCTTTATTTAGGGTCGCAAAACACAGGTCTATAATAATTATTTTCGTCAAGATTTGATGAATTAGGTTTAAGTTTCTAGTATGTTAATTTATTTTTATGTTCTTCCAACTAAATTGGTGACATGAGATAAGTTAGTCAACAAACTTATTTTTAAATAGAAATTATTTTAAAAAATTATTTTTTATAATATATTATTTTAAAATGTAAATATACAATAATATTGTGATTTATTTTTTTATAATTACACATTAAATTTCAATTATTAATTATAATAAAATAATTTGATTCCCTTAATGATATTAATTAATTAATTAAAATTTTATTATTTTAATATTTTAATTCATTCCCTTAATAATATTAATTAATTAATTAATTAAAATTTAAAAAATGATTATATGATATTTTTAATATATATATATATATATAAAGTCTGTAATAAAACAAATATAAATAAAAATATAAAGTTTATTATACGACTTGCTACTACAAAATATTAAGAACTCAAGTTGAGCTATCGCTTTAAACTAAAATTAGTATGCTTTCTCACAGTAAAAAAGTGTTTGAGTTAAAAGAAGTAGAATAGTTTTTTTGAAGAGAATTAAGAAATCAAATTTAATTTTCGCATTAAGAATACAGCCAGAAAACATTCTCGGATTAAAAACATTTTTTCAAAATGCTTATAAATAAGTAGTTGAGTATGTCCTTAATGAAGAACACACAGAATCAATGATATTATTGCCTGGAAGTTTATATTATTATAAAATTTTATAGTGCTAAAATAAGAAGTATTTTTTGATAAACATGTCTAAGGTACAATGAACAAGTTTACTTAAATTGGTTGAAAGAATAGCTGAGTCCAACAACATTTAATGTATATAAATGTCAATAAAAGATGACAATAATTATTCTGGACACTTATCTATGAAAGATACATGGCCTTCAAATTCAATGCCACGTAGGTGACGTAGCATCTTTCATTTATCATTCACTACAATACAATCATCCTTCCCTGCATTATTAGTCAATGACTTCATTATCTCCTAAAACCATAAATTCAGGCATTTACAAATGAAATCTAACCTTCACCCGATTTATAATATTCACCATATTTATAATATCCACACTGAAATCTAAATGTAAAATATTTTATTATCCACACTACTAAACTAGGAATGATAATGAGAGTTCATTACATAAAATAGATTAGAATAGCTTAACTGATATAAGATATATGAGTTAATAGTTTTAATTCGTCATGCATAACTCTGAGTTTTTTCATCAACTTACATAAATTGAAAAATAATATTTAAAATTTTATTATAATTTTTTAATCTCAAACTTAAGTATCTAGTAAAAATAAAGATTAACTAAAATACATTTACCTGTGAATTGACTGTATGATTTGTCCTGGGTCACCATCCTTTAGTATTATTAAATTAATATTTTAATTATCTTATCATTTTTACAAATTTTCTTAATATTTATAAGTAAACATTGAACGATATCTATTTAATGTTTTCAAAATATACGAAGTACTTAATATTTCCTTCAATTAATTAAAATAATTATTAATGAAAAATTATTATTAAAAATTATTTATTCAGTTAACCCAATAAGCTATATATAAATCCCCGATAAATATTGGATAACTAGGCTATCTATGTCTAGTATTATCTGTCATTAGTTTTCTTAAACAAAGCTTTGAAATTTTATGGAGGAGTTTTATTTTTATTTTTGATAAAGCATGGCTATTTTTTTAGAGGGGTAGAGCTTAGAGTATAAGGACTATGATACATAATAAAAGATAAAAAATATTCTGCTTCCAATATTTAGTGAATCTATAACTATACATTAAAAAGAATAATAAATGTAAATTATTTTACTACAACAATTTATAGCATAAACGCGATAACGAAGGAAATAATAGAAGTTATATATCTTCCCACGTACTGATTCCCTTGCTATATATTAAATAATAAAATATTACATACTTGCATATATCTTTATAAAAATACTAATTATATTCACTTGAATAAAGACTGGCTTATTAACAAAGAGTTCGAGTGTTTGTATTAATTATGAAAAACTATGTAAATATGAATATCATATTCTTTTAAACCATTAAATGACAATTATATGTTCAATTCCCCGGTTTCTTAATTATTTAACGAGCTTGTTAATTTGGCTGTACATACTTATAATAAAATTTACAAATAATAGTTCTTAATATTTTTCAGTTATTTCCTTTTGTTTAATGAGAGCTTTAACAATATGTTCTTTAACATACTCGTTTTCATATATTTTATTATTTATTAAAATTAAATAATCTGAGTTTCGATAGCAAAGTTCACCAAACATTTTTGTAATTACTTGATCTTAATAATTCACACAGGTTGGAGTATCTTCAGTAATAGTTTATAAGAACAATATTATAACATGTTATATATATATATATATATATGTGTGTGTATGTATGTATATGAGAGGCATAAACATGTAGAGAGTCACCGCTTCCCAGGTGTTGATCATTTTCTGCAGTCTGTTCCCAATATCACTATTTTATTGATTTTATTTTTTTCACTATTGCCCCCTTCTTTCTCACCATTCTAACAAACTCTTCTCACACTGCAAATTCTGAGAGAAACTCAACTCCCGATTCCACTGCTAAATATATATTCTTCTTTTTCTTCCCCATCCCTCTGTACCCTTCTGCTAATTTTCTCAGTTTTTTCAGTTACCCTTTAAATACTTGTCCATCTTTTTTCCTTTACACCTCACTCTCACCATTTTCACTTCACCTTTTCCTTCAGCAAGCTGAAACAACCCATTAATGGACACTGTGGAGCAGTTAAAGCTGGAGGAGGAGGAGGAGCAGCAGCAGCAGCAGATGGACATCACGACCATGATGATGCAACACCTCCCTCAATTCTCTGAACCCTATTGTGACACCGACACCATGGATGGTTTTCATCCCCAAGAAGACTTCTACAGTAACAACAACAATATACGCAGTGGTAGCACCATGCCACTGGCAGATTTACTAGATAATAACCCTCCCAGCCACTTACCTTGGTCCTCTTACTCATTCACGCACTTAATACCATCACCCACATCCTCCGCTATAATCTCTTTCTCCGTCAACAGCAACAACCCTACCCCAATAATGCTTCAACAAACCCCAACCGAGGGTGCAACTGCAACTGCAAACCCTTACGGTGAGAAGCGGAGCTCCATGGCGGCGATGAGGGAGATGATATTCAGGATGGCGGCGATGCAGCCGATACACATAGACCCGGAGTCGGTGAAGGCGCCGAAGAGGAGGAACGTGAAGATTTCGAAGGACCCTCAGAGTGTGGCAGCGCGGCACCGCAGAGAGAGGATCAGCGAGAGGATAAGGATCCTGCAGAGACTGGTCCCTGGAGGAACCAAGATGGACACCGCGTCGATGTTGGATGAGGCAATTCACTACGTCAAATTTCTGAAAACGCAGGTTCAGTCGCTGGAACGCGCTTCTGCTAACAATATTAGGCCCCTTGTCGGTGTTAATGCACCAGGGATAGGGTTTCCTGTTGCTATGTCTGGTTCTATTAGGACTGCTACCACTTCCGGTTCCAATTTCACCCCTTATTTTCCTCTGCCTAATACCTATGATTAAGATTCCCTTAGCGTGTAAAACCTAGTTAGTCCATTCATAAATACTCTTAATATATATAATTAAGGCATAGCCTCTCTGGATTATATATGTATATTGGTGCAAATTAATTATATGTATGCACCTATCCGCCGCATTTCATATCGGACTTGTGTTTCGAAATCCAGTTGTGTTAAACTGTTATGAACAACAAGAAAAAGTTATTCTCCAAACGTAATTCGCATAAATTAATCTGACTTAAAAGAAAGTGGGGGATAGATAATTTAATGAGAAAAAAGGAGTTGAATTTGACGTGTTATATTGTAATTAGGTTGGGGGAGAGGGAGCAATGTGCAAGATGAATGCAGAAAGAAATGATGGTGGTGGTGCTTGGAACATCTGTACGGCCATAATGGGAGGGTTTCCGAGGCTTGGAAAAGTTGAAGACGACAAAGTGTTGACACGGTGTAAAAGAGGATGATGCGAGCTGTAAGGTGTAGTTGTGTTAGTGCACTATAACTTAGCTGCTGATGCTGCTATGTATCATCATCAATAATATACACAGCCAAATCTGGTTTATATATTAAATAGTTTGGAAAAGAAAAAAGAAAAGGAAAAAATAAGAGGATTTAGCAACGTATGCAGAAAAGAAAAGCACGGGGATAGAGGAGAAGATGCATGAGAAATCCACGTGATTATCTGACACCAATGCGGTGGTTGCGTTTACTATCGGCCACGGCCATGACGTCCTTCCACCTCATCCCCTCACACGTGATCGCCATCTGCTTCCTCCACCCCAAATCTTACGGTGCTTCTCCACCTCACACTGCTTTTTCTTATATGCGCACTCTTTATTTTCAAAATTTACCCTTCTTATATTACAAATAAATAACTAAATACTTTTTTTTTTAAAATTAAACAGAATATGACTACCTTTCAAATTAAGGAGATCGGTGTAATTTTCTTAAACAAACATGCCTGTTATATCAGCAATACAATTATAATAAGCTTTTTTCTTAGCTTCCTTAAGTAAAAACGCTTAATTTATAATTTAACCATTGCTCATGCCCAAATAAATTCTTCCAGCTTAATAATAATATTAACTTGAAATTTCGCTAATATATATTTTTACCGACTAGGTCATAATATTTTCTATGTAGCATTTTGTCCGTAGGATTAGTGGAAACTATTTTATTTGTGAGACTAGCATGTTGTGAAATAAGTAAAATAATAACCATCTCTATCTGGATCTAATGTTTCAATAAAAAGTCAATATTTTAACATACATAGTAATTTCTGATTGTATTTTTTGGATATCCATACTATTATTTATATACAGACATATATATATATATATATATATATATATAATAGTTATTAACTATACCAATGTTTAATCTTCACCAATAAATCTTACATTTTTAGTGGGACATCGTTTTATAATTTTAATTGTTCTTGCAATTGTAGTATTGAAACATTGTTTAGAGGATTGAAAACGGTAGAACTATGTTTCACACATTACTTGTTAGACGCAATTATATATATATATATGTATATATATATGTATATATGTATATACATATATATATGTATATATATATATATGTATATGTATATATATATATATATGTATGTATATATATATATATATGTATATATATATATATATATGTATGTATGTATATGAGAGGCATAAACATGTAGAGAGTCACCGCTTCCCAGGTGTTGATCATTTTCTGCAGTCTGTTCCCAATATCACTATTTTATTGATTTTATTTTTTTCACTATTGCCCCCTTCTTTCTCACCATTCTAACAAACTCTTCTCACACTGCAAATTCTGAGAGAAACTCAACTCCCGATTCCACTGCTAAATATATATTCTTCTTTTTCTTCCCCATCCCTCTGTACCCTTCTGCTAATTTTCTCAGTTTTTTCAGTTACCCTTTAAATACTTGTCCATCTTTTTTCCTTTACACCTCACTCTCACCATTTTCACTTCACCTTTTCCTTCAGCAAGCTGAAACAACCCATTAATGGACACTGTGGAGCAGTTAAAGCTGGAGGAGGAGGAGGAGCAGCAGCAGCAGCAGATGGACATCACGACCATGATGATGCAACACCTCCCTCAATTCTCTGAACCCTATTGTGACACCGACACCATGGATGGTTTTCATCCCCAAGAAGACTTCTACAGTAACAACAACAATATACGCAGTGGTAGCACCATGCCACTGGCAGATTTACTAGATAATAACCCTCCCAGCCACTTACCTTGGTCCTCTTACTCATTCACGCACTTAATACCATCACCCACATCCTCCGCTATAATCTCTTTCTCCGACAACAGCAACAACCCTACCCCAATAATGCTTCAACAAACCCCAACCGAGGGTGCAACTGCAACTGCAAACCCTTACGGTGAGAAGCGGAGCTCCATGGCGGCGATGAGGGAGATGATATTCAGGATGGCGGCGATGCAGCCGATACACATAGACCCGGAGTCGGTGAAGGCGCCGAAGCGGAGGAACGTGAAGATTTCGAAGGACCCTCAGAGTGTGGCAGCGCGGCACCGCAGAGAGAGGATCAGCGAGAGGATAAGGATCCTGCAGAGACTGGTCCCTGGAGGAACCAAGATGGACACCGCGTCGATGTTGGATGAGGCAATTCACTACGTCAAATTTCTGAAAACGCAGGTTCAGTCGCTGGAACGCGCTTCTGCTAACAATATTAGGCCCCTTGTCGGTGTTAATGCACCAGGGATAGGGTTTCCTGTTGCTATGTCTGGTTCTATTAGGACTGCTACCACTTCCGGTTCCAATTTCACCCCTTATTTTCCTCTGCCTAATACCTATGATTAAGATTCCCTTAGCGTGTAAAACCTAGTTAGTCCATTCATAAATACTCTTAATATATATAATTAAGGCATAGCCTCTCTGGATTATATATGTATATTGGTGCAAATTAATTATATGTATGCACCTATCCGCCGCATTTCATATCGGACTTGTGTTTCGAAATCCAGTTGTGTTAAACTGTTATGAACAACAAGAAAAAGTTATTCTCCAAACGTAATTCGCATAAATTAATCTGACTTAAAAGAAAGTGGGGGATAGATAATTTAATGAGAAAAAAGGAGTTGAATTTGACGTGTTATATTGTAATTAGGTTGGGGGAGAGGGAGCAATGTGCAAGATGAATGCAGAAAGAAATGATGGTGGTGGTGCTTGGAACATCTGTACGGCCATAATGGGAGGGTTTCCGAGGCTTGGAAAAGTTGAAGACGACAAAGTGTTGACACGGTGTAAAAGAGGATGATGCGAGCTGTAAGGTGTAGTTGTGTTAGTGCACTATAACTTAGCTGCTGATGCTGCTATGTATCATCATCAATAATATACACAGCCAAATCTGGTTTATATATTAAATAGTTTGGAAAAGAAAAAAGAAAAGGAAAAAATAAGAGGATTTAGCAACGTATGCAGAAAAGAAAAGCACGGGGATAGAGGAGAAGATGCATGAGAAATCCACGTGATTATCTGACACCAATGCGGTGGTTGCGTTTACTATCGGCCACGGCCATGACGTCCTTCCACCTCATCCCCTCACACGTGATCGCCATCTGCTTCCTCCACCCCAAATCTTACGGTGCTTCTCCACCTCACACTGCTTTTTCTTATATGCGCACTCTTTATTTTCAAAATTTACCCTTCTTATATTACAAATAAATAACTAAATACTTTTTTTTTTTAAATTAAACAGAATATGACTACCTTTCAAATTAAGGAGATCGGTGTAATTTTCTTAAACAAACATGCCTGTTATATCAGCAATACAATTATAATAAGCTTTTTTCTTAGCTTCCTTAAGTAAAAACGCTTAATTTATAATTTAACCATTGCTCATGCCCAAATAAATTCTTCCAGCTTAATAATAATATTAACTTGAAATTTCGCTAATATATATTTTTACCGACTAGGTCATAATATTTTCTATGTAGCATTTTGTCCGTAGGATTAGTGGAAACTATTTTATTTGTGAGACTAGCATGTTGTGAAATAAGTAAAATAATAACCATCTCTATCTGGATCTAATGTTTCAATAAAAAGTCAATATTTTAACATACATAGTAATTTCTGATTGTATTTTTTGGATATCCATACTATTATTTATATACAGACATATATATATATATATATATATATATATAATAGTTATTAACTTTACCAATGTTTAATCTTCACCAATAAATCTTACATTTTTAGTGGGACATCGTTTTATAATTTTAATTGTTCTTGCAATTGTAGTATTGAAACATTGTTTAGAGGATTGAAAACGGTAGAACTATGTTTCACACATTACTTGTTAGACGCAATGTTTGTCGTGATTTGAGTGATATCATACACTTCATATTTATGTTTTAGGGGAACATCACTTTCACGATCGCGCTTATTTTTCTTCCCTATAGATTTAAAGAATAATTGTGGTCCTTCTTGTATTGGTCCCGCTTCAATTTTGTAATTATGTATGTTTTTTTACGTTATATTTGTTACATTGATTCTGTACTTTGTTAATATGTTTTCGGCATAAGCATTTTTGAGTTGGAAATATTATTCTTGCATTTAACAGCTTAAATTAGAATTAGATTAATATATGTTTTTTTTTCGCATTAGATGCAATATTTGTTAGATTAATATTCCGCAAAATGTTATGCATTGACTCTTGGATGTTTAAGTTTATTTTTATATATAAAAAAGTAAAAAAAGTTCGTCTTAACATGGTCTTTTTTATCAAAATAGGTAAATTTGGATCCAATATTACGGAAATAGGCAAATTCTTTTCATTTGATGACGTCATGAGGGGATCAATGATCTTCGAACATTTGTTGGGGATAACTTCAATACAATGAATGAAAGCATCAACGCAAGATTTGAATAACTGGAACTGAACATGGGTGACCGCTTTGATACTTTTGATGCTCGAGTTGAGCATGTAGAGCACGACATTGCCTATCTGCGTTGTCATTTTGGTCCACATGGTGGATCATCTTCCTAGATACATTTCAATATTATTGTACTTTCGTTTTTTTTAATTTAAGTTTCTTCCTTTTGTTTTGTAATGCATTTTGAATTCAATAAAAAAAGACTTCAAATTTCATTTATGAGTTTGCCTTATCGTTTTACTTTCTTTGTTCTATTTACATTAAACAAATTACTCTTCCTACACATAACAATACATCACAATGTCAACATCAACAATGTGTGCTTTACATAAAAATAAAAATTCCATTCACACCAGAAAGTTTTCCCACACTGAACCTCCTGGTAATCAATTACTACTACGGTGTAATCGATTACCACTGACATTTTTGCCTACAAAAGTAAAGTCGTGCAGTGGGGGCACGACTTCAGCACGTTGTAATTGATTACAGTTCTTGGTAATCAATTACAACATCATGAAGTCATTTTTTGGGTGCACGACTTCAACACTGGTCAAATGAACAGTGTGAAGTCGTAAGGGGGGCACGACTTCTTCATTAGAAATCGTTCTGACCTCCACGACTTCCCATTTGGTCAAAAATTGCCTATTTTCGTAATATGGCAGGCAAATTTGTCTAGTTTGATACAAAAGTCACTTAACATGTTGTTAATATTGTACTCAATTAAATATGTATATGTAAGATGATCATAGTTGTAGAAAAAATATTGTGCACGGATTTTAGGAAATAACTTGGTTGCTAGAAAAAGGATGGCATGGAGTATCTCACCAGAGCTGGAAGAGATAAAGAGAAAGATATTAGAAATGGCTATTTGCTTGTCTTGTCGTGACTCTAACATCTCTCATCTTCTAACTTTAATTGGTTCACTTCATGGGAGGCCAAGTTGTCTGTAATTCAAGGGTAGAGTGC